CTGGTCTAAATGATCACTTTGCTAATATGGGAGTGAAACCTAAGGGAGTTACAAGAAATCCAGTTAGCTCATGGAAGAAATAAATTATTTGTGAGTACTGTAAGAAACCAAAACACACAAAAGACAAGTGCTGGAAATTGCATCCGGAGCTTCTTCCCCTTTGTTTTCAAAAGAAGTCTGATAATATGAAGGCAGGGAGTGCCAATATTGCTGCTGGTCTAGATAGTGACAGATGCCTAACTGAAGAGAAGACTGCTAGTGAACAGTTAGCAGCTATGAAGGCAGAGTATGAGAAGTTTGGGAGGATGATCAGTCACCTAGAGGGTGTGGCCTCTTCTTCCAACCCTTTAGGAAATTCAACCTCTTCTGCATTTGCTCATTCAGGTATACGGGCTTCTGCCAATCATGCAACCATCTTAGGTAATCATAGGATCCCTTGGATTATTGATTCCGGTGCTTCTGATCATATGACCAGGCACCGACCTTTCCACTTTATTTGTTTCTTAGGATTTACTCCTTGGCCGTGACAAAATCACCCTAGCTGATGGCTCTCTTGCTCCTATCTTTGGCAAGGGAACCATCAAGGCTACAAACTCTTTGGTACTTCCTTCTGCTTTTCATGTACCCAAACCAAATACAAATTTGTTATCTGTAAGCAGCTTAACCAAGTCTTTGAACTGTGTGTAACTTTTTTTCCTTCCTACTATGTTTTTTAGGATCTAGTCTCAAAAAGTGATTGGGAGTGGCCATGTGGCGAATGAAATATATCTGTTGGACACTCCTGGACAGAGCCATGGACAACCTGGAAAAGGTTCTTTTGGATCTACATCTTCAGAGTCTGTCAGTCGTGTCATGTTATGTCATTTTCGTTTGGGCCATCTTTCTTCTTACACATTAAGTCATTTATTCCCAGAACTATTTAAGGGAATTAATTTGTCCAGTCTTCATTGTGAGTCTTGTGAGTTGTCAAAACATTGTAGAAGCAGTTATCCTTTGAGTAATAAAAGATCTTCTCCTTTCCATATTGTGCAATCTAATGTGTGGGGGCCTTGTCACTTACCTTCTATGGGTGGCTACAAATATTTTATCTTGTTCATTGATGATTTTTCACGATTCACTTTGATATTTTTTATGAAGTCCTATGATGAAGTTCCTAGACTTGTGAGGCAATTCCATGAATTTGTTCTAAGCCAGTTTGATACCAGAATTCAAATTTTCAGATTCGACAATGCAAAAGAATATTTTGAGAAAAACAACAAGTATCCTGTTTGCCTCACATGTCCCTACAAAGTTTTGGGGTGATGCTGTTCTCACTGCAACCTACCTAATCAATCGTATGCCATCCAGGGTATTGGGGTTTAAGTCTCCCTTCAATCTTCTTCATCCGAGCAAGGACCTTTTTCCTATTCCACTCTGTGTCTTTGGTTGCACTTGTTATGTACATATTCGAAGTGTCCAGAGACATAAATTTGAACCAAAAGCCCACAAGTGTATTTTCCTTGGTTATTTCCCCACACAAAAGGGTTATTGTTGTTTTGATCCGAAGACTGGAACACGGTATGCCTCAATGTATGTCACTTTTGATGAGCTTTCTTCCTTTTATGATTCTTCTCAGGAGAGGCATTGTCCAAAGGGGGAGAATTTGTCACAATTGTTTGCTCTTCCCCTTCCTGTCCCAGTTGAGTCTTCTTCTGAACCTCTTCCTCCTTCAAATGAGCCAAGGGAGGATCAATCATCTCATTCTCATTCTAGTGTTCCTATCCCTCCTCCATTACCTCTTCGTCCTCTTTTTAATCCCAGGTTGTACCAACGACATAGAAATAGAAGTGAGCAGATAGTTTCCCCTACACAATATGAGCCTCCTGCACTTCTAGTCACAGAAGAGACAACATGTACTGATACAGCCCCTTTGGAGCCATCCTTCCCAGACCTTGATATCCCYATTGYTAWYAGGAAAGGAAAWAGGAAGTGTACTGCACATTGCATTTCCAAACACCTTTCTTATAGTTTGCTCTCTCCTTCATCTTTTGGCTATCTTTCTTCTGTTGCTTCTAACCCATACTCAGGTCTGTGGCAGAAGCTCTTACTATTCCAGAATGGAGGGATGCTATGAGAATAAAAATTGATGCCCTACACAAGAATGACAGTTGGGAAGTGGTTGATTTACCTGAAGGAAAGGAACCAGTAGGCTGTAAATGGGTTTTTACCATCAAATATCATGCTGATGGCACCATTGAAAGGTACAAGGCTAGGATGGTTGCAAAAGGTTATACACAGACATATGGGATTGGCTATTTGGAGACCTTTGCTCCTGTTGCAAAGATGACTTTTGTGAGAGTTCTGCTATCTCTGGCTGCACACTCAGACTGGCCACTTTACCAGCTAGATGTAAAGAATGCATTTCTGAATGGAGAGTTACATGAGGAGGTTTATATGTCTCTTCCTCCAGGGATGTATGAAACAAATATGAAAGGGAAAGTCTGCAAGCTGAAGAAATCTCTTTATGGACTTAAACAGCCCCTAGGGCATGGTTTGAAAGGTTTAGGGCTGCCCTTGTTAACTTTGGCTATGTACAAACTCAGTCTGATCATACCCTCTTTGTGAAGAGGAGAAGATCTTTGGCAGTATATCTGATTGTGTATGTTGATGATATTGTTGTGATGGTAATGATGTATCAGGGATTAATGATCTTAAATCTTTCCTTCATATAGAGTTTGAGATCAAAGATCTGGGGGAATTGAGATACTTTCTTGGCATAGAAGTTGTTCGATATAAGGATGGGATTCTTATCTCTCAGCGAAAATATGTACTTGACTTGCTCTATGAAACAGGGAAGATGGGTGCTAGACCAGTTGCTACTCCTATTGATATGAGTCATAAACTCTCTGCCTCAGATGGAGTATTGTTGAAAGATAAGGGAGTCTTCCAGAGGCTACTTGGGAAACTACTCTATCTATGCATGACATGGCCAGACATTGCATATGCTGTCAGTTGCATTAGTCGGTTCATGCATGCTCCCAGGGACACTCACATGGTAGCAGCAGAACGAATTTTGTGTTATTTGAAGGGTTATCCTGGAAAGGGAATTCTATTTGCTAAGCATGGTCATATGAAACTTGAAGCCTACACAGATGCTGATTGGGCCGGAAATATCGATGACAGAAGATCTACCTCTGGATACTGTAGCTTAGTGGTAGGTAATATTGTTTCTTGGAGAAGTAGGAAACAATCAGTTGTTGCCAGATCTTTAGCTGAAGCTAAATATAGTGCCATGGCTCTTGGAGTTTTAGAACTGCTATGGCTTCGATCCTTGATGGAGGAACTAGGTATTGAGCATGATAAGTCATTGATGTTATAATGTGATAATCAGGCTGCCATCAACATTGCTCACAATCCAGTGCAACATGACATAACCAAACATATTGAAGTTGACAGACACTTCATTCGAGAAAGAGTGGCTTCTGGAGAAGTTTGTCTACCTTTCATCACTTCTGAAGGACAGTTGGCTGATTTCCTCACCAAGGGCATTCCCAAGGCTAAACTTCAGCATGATACTGGCAAGCTTGGCATGATTGACATCTATGCTCAGCTTGAGGGGGAGTGTAGAGAAGATGGGCCGAATGGCCCATAGGCTGTTTGCCTTATTTTATCTTTTTATGTTCTTTGCTTTAATGGGCCTCAATTTGGGCCTTTATTTCTCTTATGTTTTTAATTATCTACCCAACCAGGGGCCTCTCTATAAATTGCTAAAGTTTAAGTTAATGAAATAGGATTAGGGGTGTAAGAGGAGGTTAAGTTTAAAATCTCTCTTTGAACCCTTATTTCCGCCACCTTCTTCCTCTTCTCTCTTCTTGAGCTCTGATTTCTACCTCTCTCAATCGATTCTCTGCAATATTTTGAACAGTCCTTTCTTTTCATAAGGCTGTTTTTCTTCTAAATCCTATTGTCACTTGGGTTGGAGGGGTTTATGGGTGTACGGGGGATGGGCTAGACCCCATTGTGTAGCCTCATGAGGCTATCAGAAGGAAGTACTCATTCACTTCAATTGAGCTTCTAGTCATGGTTTGCTATGTTGGTGATATGCATTTTTCTAGGGAAGACATGCAATTATCCAAAAATCTTTTATTCCTAATTTTTTTATAAATAATGAAGTTTTATTAAAGACAAGATATAGTATTACATTAAAAGTAACTCAACAGAGGTGTGAGGTGCAACCCCCATTACAGAATCAGGATTACAACAGAGCCAGAAAAAGTGCAGACTTATGCCCCCTAGTTTTGCAAAATAATCAGCCATCCTATATATTGTCGATATGTCGGCCGTATTTTGGATTTCATTGATAGACTGTACACTTAATGTTTAAAATGTTAGAATAATATTAAGAACTTATTAGTATTTCATTAAATGAACTTAGTTTTTTTAAAAACTTTTCTTAAAAAAACAAATGAGGATTCAGTGTTTGAATGATTGGTTTACTATTTTGATACGATTCACTAATTATAATTCAAAAGAAAAAGAAGGAACACAACTACAAAAGGGGACTCTCAATGTAACCAAAATGTTGAGTGAAAAAAAAGACAAAGTCAAAATGGAAGGTAAATGACATATGATAAAGAAATGATAGATAAAAGACTGAAAGGGAGATAGAGAGAAAGATACCTATTGCCGTTTCTTTATTTTCTCTTTTTGATTCATATGGTTGTTTGCTATGATATTTTTAGCCTTAAATGTGTAATTATAATTCTTCTCACATTTCCTTTAAGGTTGATTAACAAATTCCATGTTTTTATGTTTTTTTCTAGAATATTTCCTTGACTTTTTAGATTTTCCAAATATCTCAGTGAAATTAGGTAAATTGCCTCGAAGTATGTATTGCAGCACATGTTTTTGTTAAATATAGTTAAGTGTATGAAGTACAGTAATTTGCAGGTATATCTCTAGTGGTTATCTTGTCATTAAGCTGATGAATAGTTTTATTTTTTAACTTGAGAATTCTACAGATGGTATTTTCCGCATTGGCTTTAGCTCAATACGAGGTCATTTGGTACTTTCAGCATGTTGGAATTGGATCCCCAAAATCTAAATCAATCAAGATGGTGCCAGTTGACATAGTAAGCATCTTGTTGTTACAAATTGGTTAAAAGTAAAATGCCATTATGATTTATGCAAAGCTGGTCTCAACAATCCAGGATGTTGAGAGAGGTAGACTGGATATGGGCTTAAGCTCTTTTATTAGTACAAAATGATCGGTTATATCCAATGGTGATATAAAATATTTTGTGAGTTTGTCTTCATCCTTAGTATTTAGATCCACTGATCAATTACTTCATTGTAACTGGTATTATTTCAATGCAGGATCCAAATGATCCTACTATAGGGTTCCTGTTGGATGGGATGGACCGTCTTTGCTGTTTGGTGCGCAAATATATTGCAGGTCAGATCGAGTATGCTGTCAATAAATTTCTTTAATCATAAATTCATAACTAGTAAAATGTGAATCTTACTCGTTTGATATAAAATCGATGAGAAGTATGGATTTCATCACATGAGCAAGTATTCTTTATAAAACATGGAATTTGAACTTCTGTGGTAAAATATTATCAAGTCTATTATTTCAGCTTCATCCGCCCATGCCCATGATTGGCTTTCTTTGACTAGTCAAAAAGTGGAAACTAGGTAGAAGTCGTAACAAAACTAGGAACTCCAGAAAGGCTTTCTATTTCAAAATGAAATGCAAACTCTCAAGTGCCTAAAGACAATACAAAACTATACTTGGGACAGCTGAGGTTATTATTTCAGCTTCATCCACACATGACACACTAGACAAAATTCTTCTAGGATTGTCATGCCATAAAGAACCCTTGGATCAAAGTCAAACATGTCACTGTAAGGATATAGCCTCTTTTTTGGTCCTCTAGCTATATACAACACAATGTTTGTAAATTATCATTGACCTGGCCAGTTGGACCTGATCTATCACCTAGAGAAGAAAATGGGTTCATTTTACCTCAAACTTGGTTTTCTTCATAAAACTGTTAAATTTGGTCAAAACCCGTCAACCTTACAGTCAAATTGTTGGACCCATCCAATCCATTCATGGGTGGTGACTCAAAGTAGTTAAATAATGTTTTAATTTATTACATTAGAAAATAGAGGCTTAATAGAAAACTGAGAAGGAAGAGGGAAGAAGAGATCCAACTGACAGCATGGGGGGAGAGAGAGAATCTTGTTGGCCAACAGCATGGGAGTGATGAAGTGCTGAACTGCTAATGGCAACATCGGACAGTGGTGGAGGAAGGGACTACCTCTAAATGCTCCACAATTCTGACCAGTGATTTAATAGGTGCACCTAAGGTACGCCTAGGCACACAGGCAATGCTCATTTCAAGGCATGCACCTCAGCTAGGCCCACACACAGCCCCTAAAGGCATGCACCTGGCTGAGGCACAAGGGCAACTTGTATAATTAAGAATAATTCTAAAACCAATATTTTAGAATGTTAATATGTTTCATTATAAAACTAATATTTTTGCTCCGACAAGCCCCTTTTATGTTAATATGATTCATTCATCTTTTAGTACAATAAAATTTTCAAAAGATAAGGAACTATTACAAAACCAAGGTTCCAAGTATTGCTACACACTTAATGCGCTGGATGGGGTGAATTGGGTGTTTTGACCCCCCACACCCCCTTTTTTATTTTTTGCTTTTTCTCAAAACCTGTTCAGAGGGGTCAGTTTAAGGCTTTTCTACCCCCCTGAAACAGGTCATAGCACAAAAGCTTATATATTTGGTGTATCGGTGACCCACTGATATATACGTATCGGCTGATATGGGCCGATACGTGATGATTTTTTTTTTGATAAGTGATACGTGATGAAATTTTGAACCTTGGAAAAAAACATTATTTTATTTTATTTTATATTATTTGATAAATCAAAACCAATACCAAAACCAAAATTTTATGTACTGATTAAGAATTTAAGATGATAACGTGAAGTCATGAACTTGTTTGAGGTTTCCTCAAGTGGCTTGGTACAATGGCAGCTTGTAGAATTAAGAATACATTAGCCATTTAATGTAATGTGATTAAAGTGATTGAAAGTTTCACATGTGTGAATATGCTTTATATGTCATGTTTGAATATGTTTATGTATTTTGACTTGAGCCAATAGAATTTTTTGAAACATTTGGTTTAAAATTTGTGTACATTTTTCTAAATTAATACTATTTTAATATTTTTTATTTATTTTGAATTTTTTATATTTTTGAATTTTTTTTTAATTTTGCACTTCACTTCAAAAAAGCATGTGCCTTGCTTTGTACATTGCACCACAGGCACAAAGCCCCTTGTGCTTTTTCTGTGCTTTGTGCTTTTTAAAACACTGATTTTGTCGACTTATGCCCCTAGAAACAGAAAGGGATGATTTATTCACTATTGGGCATATATGCTCCCGATAATCTACCTGTTTGGAACCAAGAAAACATTACCTCTATGTGTGTCTGTTCTGGACTGCCCAAAATATGTGATCAGACTGGGTTATATTCTGACTTAATGCCATATAAGAACTTGGCTACGTAAATGTCTCTCCCTTATTGTTGCATATCATAATATCTTATGTAATAGGTTGATAAATATTTAATACTTAATCATAGTTTTCAAGGCGCCAAGGTGAGGCTAAGCAACAGGGGGCACCTTGTCCCCTAGTTGCTCGGGTGATGGATTTTTCAAGTAAAAGACATGTATCCTAGGGTAGTTCCCTTGGTTCCATAACCACATTTCCTTAATAATTATCCATAATTTTCATAAGAAAAGAATAAGCTTCATGTTAAAGTATAGGAAATCAACATATTTGTGAGAAGAAAAAGAAGAAAGAAAAGAAAATTCAAAAAATATAGGATCTGAACCCTTTTTTTTTTGTTATAGGAAAAGTGAAAAGAAAAGGTGGAAGAAGAAGAAGAAGAAAATGTATTGATTAGACAAAATTTTAAGTTCTTCCTTATCGGTTCAGGTTTTGAAGTCTTTGAGTTCAACATAGCATTTAGCATGTCTTTGTTGATCAAACCCTAACAAATGAGAAAATAATAAAAAGAAATCAGTATATAAACACACAAATTGAATATTTTAGTTTAATAATGTCTATTTTATACTGATAAAAAATAATGTCTATTTTATAATTATAATCTCAAAAACTTAAGAATATAAAGTATTTTATAACACAATGTACAAAATTGCTTGGCAATTAGGAGAGGCGAGCCTCCAAGTATGCCTTGTTGTCTTGACAACTATGCTCTTAACTCTCATCATCATCCAAGCCTTATCCCCAATTATATGGGGTTATCTACATGCATCCTGTTTCACCATTCCGTTCTTTAATGCCATATCCTTTGTTAAAGGATTGGTGCTTAAATCATTTCTTACTACTTCTACCAATGTCCTTTTCGGTCTCCCCCTTGCCCTTCTATCCCCTTCAGCTTGTAAAAAGTCACTTCTTACGGGTGCTGTTGATGGTCTTCTATGCAGATGGGCAAACCCTCTTAGTTTCTCTCATTTGATCACCTATTGGAGCTACTCCTATGTTCCTGTGAATGACTTCATTTTTAATCCTATCCTTTCTAGTTTTTCCACTCTTCCACCTCAGCATATGCATTTCTGCCACATTAAGTTTCTGGACATGTTCTTTCTTGATTTCCCAATACACTGCTCCATACAACATAGCTGGCCCTACAAATATTTAATTTGTAATAAAGACTCATTATACATGTGTTACACTTATATTGTTACTTCCTGAATCCTCTATGGTATTCTCATTCTCCTATATCTATTTGGGTGTATTAAGAAAATTCAAGCTACTGATTTTGTGCTTCACAAAGTTCCATAAGCACGTCTTAATTTGACTAAATCTTCTATCCACTCAGAATAGTCAGGGATCACTGATTCTGGTTTTCTGCATGTTAAATACTGTAGAGATAGCTGATAGACCATTAGTGTGTGTGGGGTTCCAGCTCCACACTTATCTTTGCTGTTTATTTATTTAATTTTCAGTTAGAGTAGTTGGGCCGGTTGGGCCTTGTTTGTTTTGTTTGTTTGTTTTTTTTTTTTTTTTTTTAAAGTGAGGGTATTAAGGTAACTTTAGTCATTGTAATAGATTACAATATAAATAAGATGTAATGGGCGGCTAGAGGCATAAGTCTGCCGAACACCTTCTTTTCTTCTTCTTCTTCTCTTCCTCTCTCTTCCCTCTTCTATTCGTGACCCTTCTTTTTCTGTTCTTTTACTGACTTAAATCAGAAAAAAACATCTATTTTCTGGTTTAATTCTTTCAAGTTTGTATCAGAACCAGAACTAGGGCAGTTTAGGGCTCTCATGTGAGCCTAATCCTGTCGGCAGCATGAGAAGTTACTGAATCTGAAGTTTTGCATCTTTGCCTGATTCATGGAGGACCACTGGAGTTTCGAATTGTGCCCAAGGGGTTACACGACCTTTGGAGAGTGCCTGGTGACCAGGAAGGATCAGAGAAGTCAGGTAAGTCAAAGATTAGGGCTTAATCTGAGAAAGAACTCACCTTTATTGAGATTGACCTTATAAGGAGCAGTTTTTAACCTTCTGGAGCAGTTTTTTTGACAGTTTCTGATTTAATTCAGCAGTTTTCTGATATTTCTGTTAGTTTCTCTGAGGCTTTTTGAAATCCCATGGTCAATTCTTGCTCCCACATTTTTTCTGTGACTGGTTGGTTCTTGGGAAACTACAGTAATCTGATTTTGATTTCTGGGTGTTTCTTGTCAACTGAGGAGTGTTTCTTGGAAGTTATTAATAATCTGAAATTGATTTCTGGGTAATACTTCTTGACTGAGGAGTGTTTCTTTGTGGTGATTCTCAGCTGTGAGTGTTTTTTCTGATTCAGCAGAGACTTTTCTTTTACATAAAAGAAGTTTCTTTGATCAAAGTAGTGACTGTTAACATCTTCTTTAAAATGGAGAAGGTTGGAAGTGAATTCAAGACTCAAGGGGAAGGAATTTTAGGGGCTGGAAGCATGCCTGAAAGTTCTTTTTAGATTACAACTGTTAGGTTCGATGGAACAAATTACCTGGAGTGGGCACAATCAGCCATGATGGTTATTGGAGGTAGAGGTAAATAGGCTATGTGACTGGGGATATAAAGAAACCAGCCAAAGAAGACACATCACTTGCCAAATGGGTTCAAGAGAACTATTTGGTGATGATATGGCTGTGCAATCCAAAGCAGCATTGTAGCCCCACATTAGTCGAAATTATTTATGGGCAAAAGCGGCTAAGGAAATCTGGGATAATATGAAAGAGACCTATTCCCAACCCCTTAATGTTGCTAGGGCCTATGAGCTGAAGCAAGGTTTAAAATGTCGATGTCGATGGAAATGTCGCTTACCAAAATATAGGACATATGTCGGAAATGTT